TTCGTTCTTTTCTAAAATATGATAACTTCGTATGACGTCCAAAGTAATCATGTGTTTTAACCATTCATGTACTTAAGACACTTATTCAAACAGTTAAAACCCATTAAGTCCTAAAAGAACTACGGAATACCCGGGTTATGAACCAAATAAATAAGCCAACAAGACAGCCAAATTATTTATCCTTTTATCCTACAGAGCTTAGAATTAACAGGTATGGTATGTACTCAATTAATTCCATCAAACGACTAATTAACGTTAGAATTGGCCAGATTCAACACAATTAATCATCACATGAAAGCGTAAGATTAAACATAATTTAATTGAAAGCATTAAAACTCATATTAGTGCAGAATTTTCATAGTTATTGTATCATGATCCCAGATTAAAGAATTAGCCACTCAACATTTTGATTTTATAACTAATAAAAACCACTGCCAACATGCAATTAAATTCTAAAACCTGGAAAGTGCAAAGTGCCAAAACTAATTGTTGCTGCTGCCACCAAGAAAAGAATTTGTGCCAAAATGGAATTGCTCGCCAGTCAGACTTCGCACGCCGTCGATCTCTTCCGGAATTGGACCCAATCAGATTGTTGTTCCAAGGAATTCTGCCGCTAACGCCGAACACCAAGAACGTCCGCCGCCTCTGGAGTTAACTGATGATTTGCCTTCTCTGATTTTCCCGGCAAATACTTTGGGTATGAGAATTGAAGGCTGAATTTGTGAGATTGATCATGAAAAAAATCGATGAACACTGACCTCTTTTTATAGTGCTTAGTTCAACCGCTTCACTGAGATCCCGCTGATCAACCGGAGATTCTATAGCTCAACGTCTCAATCGGATCTTCCAAAGGACTAGGCAGCGCTGGGAGAAAATCCTTTTGGATCGCGCTTGAATCGGCCAAACTGATGCGTCATATCCTTTTATTTTGCTGCGTCAATTCTTTGCACAATGATAAAGGACTTTATCATATGGACTACAAATATTGGGCTCAACTAAATAATCATACTAATTGGGTTTAGAAAAACATAATACTAAAAGTAATAATAAAACAACCTATTATTTAATTATTTTAAGAAAAACTAAAAAACATAATGAAATATAAAAATATGTATAATAACTAATTAAAAATTACTTATTAATTAGAAACAATAAACTAAATTAACACTAAAAATATTGTTCATCAAATTTCCCCACACTTATTTATTTGCTTGTCCTCAAGCAAAGACATTATTAAAAAGAAAAGAAATTAAAATAAAATCAAGCATAAGATCGAGCTTTACCCAAATAGCCTTTCAAATTTATTGCCTCATAAATGCAAAGTTAGTGCCACACTCAAAGATTGTATAAAACATTTGACTAGAAATTAAAAACTTTAACAACTAAAATAATTATAAAACGTGTGCTCGTGTGCTGACACCCCTTATATGAATTATACAAAAACTCAATAGAAAAATATGAAAATTTCACCAAATTCAACCTAAACCATATTCAGAAATATTCAATCACAGTGCAGGTGCAAAACATGAAGGAAATCAGGATCAAGGCACTTATTAAAATTGAAAAGCAATTGCATGTCTCTTCCAAAGTTCACTCATTATTTTTCTACTTTGACTTTTTCCAAAGAGAACTTCCCCAAAAATCTCGCCATTTTACGCCAGACTTGTTTGGGTTTTCAATTTTGTGTGTACTCATAAACCAGACCACGACACTTATTTATTTATTTATGGTACATGTGTATAGGTGGCTGATTCAGCGGAGTAGAATCTCTGAATTTATTGCAAATAAAATAAATAAATAAATAAAACACTCTCATTTTTTTAAATATTATTTAATCCTTTTTTTCACCTCGCTTATGCCATAAAGATGATCCTTGAAACCAACATACTACACCACAATTTATAGCACTCAAGAATTGTTTAAGAATTTGATGAGGGTAATATAAGTTGAAATCAACATATAAACTATTAAAGAAAACGCATAAAACATATAAGGGTATTTGTGATTTTCATATTCTATTTTTTTTTTTTTTTTTTTGACTTTTTTGGTTTTTTTTTTTTTTATTTGACAAAGATATAAAATTAAAGAAATTAACAACTAGTCAAAAGCAATATACACACTAAGAGCTGACAAAAACCTGCATTATTTTCATCATAGGCTAATCAAAAGACTTACTAGGTAAAACTCAAGTTCGTACTTAATTGCTTTTAAAAGTAAAACATTATTATTATTTTTTTTTATTTTTATTTATTTATTTATTTATTTTTGCAATGAAAGCACATAAGAGGAAGAGAATGACAATTATTTAGAATATAAATACCTTCCCCACACTTATTTCAAACATTGTCCTCAATGTAGAGAACAACAATTAAAAGAGACACACAAAAAACAGTCAGAGCTCATCAAATTATTAAAATAGAATAAGCAAGTCAAATGAAAAATAAAGGAAAAGGGAAAGAGAATTGGGTTGCCTCCCAATAGCGCTTCAATTATTATCTGTAGCTAGACAACTATGGGCATTCAGCGTGCTGCAACTCTATCCGTTCAACAATCTGGGCTGAAGATTCACCCTCGAGGTACTGCTTAAGTCTTTGCCCATTTACCTTAAACTTTTCACCTGTTCTTGGATTTTCAATTTCACAGGCACCGTGAGGAAATACCTCACGAACCACAAAAGGTCCTGTCCATCTAGATTTTAACTTACCTGGAAACAATCTCAAACGAGAGTTAAATAACAAAACTTTCATCCCAGGTTCAAATTTTTTCCTCAAAATAAACTTATCATGATAAGCTTTAGTCTTCTCTTTATAGATTTTTGAGTTTTCATAGGAGTCATTTCTTATTTCATCTAATTCATTCAAATTTAATTTTCTAATTCTACCAGCCTTCTGCAAATCAAAATTTAGAAATTTAATAGGTCAATAAGCTTTATGTTCTAACTCTACTGGCAAATGACAAGCCTTGCCAAATACCAACCTGTACGGGCTCATACCAATCGGGGTCTTGTAGGCTGTCCTGTAAGCCCACAGTGCATCATTAAGTTTGATGGCCCAATCCTTCCTAGAAGGATTCACTGCCTTTTCCAATATCCCTTTGATCTGCATGTTACTCACCTCTACTTGGCCAGAGGTTTGTGGATGATATGGAGTAGCCACTCTATGAGTAATGCCATATTTTTTCAGAAGACCTGCAAAAAGTTTATTACAGAAGTGGGTACCTTCATCGCTAATAATAGCTCTTGGTACCCCAAACCTGGTAAAAATATCTTTCAAAAACTGTATAACAACTTTACTATCATTTGTCCGAGTAGCTACAACTTCAACCCATTTTGATACATAATCAACAGCCACAGGAATATAATTATAACCAAAAGAAGTAGGAAAAGGCCCCATAAAATCAATTCCCCAAACATCAAAGAGATCAATGACCAAAATATTTGAGAGGGGCATTTCATGACGCTTACTTATATTACCAGTTCTCTGGCATCTATCACACTTAGCACAAAATTCAAACGCATCCTTGAACAAAGTGGGCCAATAAAAACCAGACTGCAAAACTTTCAATGCAGTTCTCTTCCCACTAAAATGTCCTCCGCAATTTAAAGTGTGACTGTGATTCAAAATATTCTGTTGTTCAAGCTCAGGAGTACACCTTCTAATTATTTGATCAGGACAAATTTTAAACAAATAAGGCTCATCCCAAAAAAAATGTTTTACTTTGGAAAGAAAATGTTTTTTTCCTTGTGAATTTAAGTCTGGGTGAAATTGACCCGAGACTAAATAATTCACAATGTCAGCATACCAAGGTTCTATGTTCTGAAAAGAAAGCAATTGTTCACCTGGAAACCTGTCATTAATAGGAATATCATAATTAGGACAGTTATTAGCTGCTTCGGGTAGACGGGACAAATGATCGGCTACCACATTCTCGCAACCTTTCTTGTCCCTGATAGTCAAATCAAACTCTTGCAGCAATAGAATCCATCTTATTAGTCTAGGTTTAGCATCTTTTTTAGCCAACAAAAATTTTAGAGCAGAATGATCAGAATAAACAATCACCTTAGAACCAATCAAGTAAGAACGGAATTTTTCTAATGCAAAGACTATAGCCAACAACTCCTTTTTAGTAGTTGTATAATTAGCCTGAGCACTATCCAAAGTTCTGCTCGCATAATGAATCACATAAGGCATTTTTATTTATTCTTTGTCCTAAAACAGCGCCTATGGCATAATCAGATGCATCACACATTATTTCAAAAGGAAACTCCCAATTAGGTGCAGCAAGAACGGGAGCCGAAGTTAATTTTTCTTTCAAAAACTTGAAAGCAGATAAGCAGTCATCATCAAATTTGAAAACAACATCTTTTGCAAGCAGGTTACATAAAGGCTTACAAATTTTTGAAAAATCTTTTATGAAGCGCCTGTAAAAACCTGCATGACCAAGAAAACTTCGCACTTCTTTTACAGAAGTAGGGGGAGGTAATTTCGAAATAACATCAATTTTAGCCTTATCAACCTCGATTCCCCTGTCAGAAATTATATGCCCCAAAACGATGCCCTCTTTAACCATGAAATTACTTTTTTCCCAACTCAAGGTTAAGTTCATTTTAACACACCTTTCAAGCACAGACGATAAATGAGCAAGGCAATCATCAAAAGAGTCACCAAATAGAGAAAAATCATCCATAAACACTTCAACATATTTTTCAATCATATCAGAAAAGATCGACATCATACACCTTTGAAAAGTCGCAGGTGCATTACATAACCCAAATGACATCCTGCGGTAAGCAAAAGTGCCAAAAGGGCATGTAAATGTCGTTTTTTCTTGATCCTCAGGTGCAATAGGAATCTGAAAATAACCTTGAAAGCCATCAAGAAAACAATAATAAGCATGCCCAGCTAATCTTTCTAACATTTGGTCAATAAAGGGCAAAGGAAAATGATCTTTTTTTGTGGCGGCATTTAATTTTCTGTAATCTATGCACATGCGCCACCCAGTTACTGTCCTAGTTGGGATTAATTCATTTTTGTCATTATTGACCACAGTAATCCCAGACTTTTTTGGCACTACATGAACTGGACTTACCCATTTACTGTCTGAAATTGGGTAAATAATACCTGAGTCCAGCAACTTTAGGACTTCTGCCCGTACAACCTCCTTCATATTTGGATTTAACCTGCGCTGAGGTTGACAGACAGGAGTTGACCCTTCTTCAAGAAGGATACGGTGCATACAAACCGTTGGACTTATTCCTTTAATATCTCCTACTGTCCAACCAATTGCACTTTTATACTTTTGTAATACGTCTAGCAGACTTTGTTCTTGTTCAAGTGAAATGTCAGAGGCAATTATTACAGGATAAGTATTATTTGGACCTAAGAAAGCATATTTTAAAGAACTAGGAAGAGGTTTTAGCTCCAGCGTGGGTGGAATTTCAGCTTCGATTGAAGGATGGTGTTTTCCCTTGATTTGCTCCAGACATGTAACTGAACCTCCTTCAACACTCCCCTCTTTTATTGGGCTTTCGTCGTGTTCCACGTCATCAACCTCGACCTTCAACGGATATTGATCTAAAAACTTAGCAGAAATTATTGAATCTAAAACATCTACAGCAAAACAATGATTATTATTGTTTTCAGGCAGTTTCATTGATTTAAGAATGGAGAATTCAATAGTTTCATCAAGCACAGTCATGGTTAATTTTCCATTTTGAACATCAATCATTGTTTTTGTTGTGGCCATGAAAGGTCGGCCAAGCAAGATAGGCATGTCCTGCTCATAATTATACTTTTTATTTATGTCTAATAGGACAAAGTCAGCAGGAATTATTAATTTGTCAACTTGGACTAAAACATCTTCTACAATGCCTCTAGGATATCTGACAGAACGATCAGCAAGCTCTAAGGACATTGTAGTAGGTTTCAATTTATCCAGACCTAACTGCAAGTAGACAAAATATGGCATCAAGTTAATGCTTGCCCCTAAATCAAGCATAGCCTTTTCTTGCTTAGAATTCCCCACTGTAATATTTATTATGAAACTACCAGGGTCTTCTAATTTTGGAGGCAAGTTAATTTGCAAAACAGCACTTACAGTTTTAGACATGAAAACTTTTTCATTATGTTCATATCTACGCTTTCTAGTGTTCAATTCTTTTAAAAACTTAGCATAAGCAGGCATATTTTTAATCATGTCTAACAATGGTAAATTCACATTCACTTTTGACAACAAATCATAAATGTCAGAAAATGATTTATCAAATTTTGAATTCCTTAATCTACCGGGGAATGGAACCGGGGGAACATAAGGCTTAGGGGGCACATAAGGATCATCAGATTTATGCAACTTGGGTTTATCATTATTAATATCATCATCAACATTCAAGTTTTCAACTATTTCAGTTTGTTTAGAAGTGGTACTTGCTTTCACATTATTTTCAATAACTTTACCACTTCTTAAAACGGTCAAAACCTTAGCTTGTTCAGGTTGGCTGGGCAACTTACCTGGCACATGGCCTTGTAGAGCTTCGGCGATTTGCCCTATTTGTGCTTCCAATTTTTTCATTGAAGCTTCATTTTGTTGAAATCGTCGTTCACTTGCTTCTTGTTGCATCTTGAATTGCTGCTCCGTTATTTCCTGCTGTCTATTGCAAGCTTGTACCAAAGTATTCAATGAATCCTCCAAAGATGGTCTTTTTGGTTGAGGTGGATCAGTTGATTGATAATTTTGATTACTACCCCATGAAAAATTAGGGTGATTCTTCCACCCCGGATTATAAGAATTGGAATACGGGTCATTTCTTGGCCTTTGATTAAAATTGTTCATTGCATTGACCTGCTCAACATTGTCAGTTTCTTCAATCATACATGCATTCTTTAGGTTCATACTCATCATAGAACACATGCTTGTCATTTGTTTTGTTAACTCAGACATATACGCCGTCAAATTAGAATTTGAGCTAACTTCATACATTCCTGGTGTCCGTCCCCTTATGCTCTTTTGTTGGGAGTTTGCTCCTAGCATTTCATACAACGCTAAGGTCTCCTCCGCTGTTTTTTCTGCCATGGCACCTCCAGCCGCATTATCAACTATTGATTGGTTGGTTTGGGTCAAACCATCATAGAATGTTTGATTTTGCAGCTCCAACGGGTAGCCATGGTGGGGGCATTTAATGAGCAACATTTTAAACCTTTCCCATGCCTCATGAAATGGTTCGCCTTCAGCTTGCGAAAAAGTCGCAATTTTTCTTCTTAATTCGGAAGTCTTGGCATGTGAATAGAATTTACCTATGAATTTGTTGTACACCTCCGGCCATGTCCGAAGGGACCCTGGTGTGAGAGACATGAACCATGTCTTTGCTGCATCTTTCAAGGTGTAAGGGAAACACCTCATTCTCAATTCATCGTCATTCAACGGAAAGTTTTGGACTACCCCGTAAAAATCCCTAATGAAGGTGAGGGCATCCTCGGTTCCTGAACCATGAAAAGACGGCAATTGATTGTAATGAACCGTCTTTAACTCATAATTTCGCCCTGCATTGGTAAGCACTATACAAGATGGTGAAGTTCCTACTTGGGGCCTACCAAAGTCTTTCATTAGCCTAGGATTAGGCCTGGGGTTGGGGTTAGGATTGGGATTGGGTGGAGGAAGTGCAGCCATGGTGGTGGTCGTTTCTTGTGGTTCAAAAATGGGATTTTCAAAAACTAATATTTTTTTCTTTCTCCTGTCAATACGGTCGTCTAAAGGTAACAATTTAGGGTTTAAAGAACGACGACCCGGCATAACATAAATAAATAAAATAACAAAAATAAATAAAGAAAAAAAAGGAAGAAAAGAAGGAAAAAAACAAACAAGCAATTGAAAGTAAAATAAATAAGATAAAAGGGAAATAGGAAAAAGTAAACCAAAAACAATTTAAAGCAAATTGCACAGTAAACAATTCCCCGGCAACGGCGCCAAAATTGATGGACAATTTTTCAATGTCCTCGCAAGTGCACGAGTCAATTATTAGTAATAGTGTGCTTTAGCAAGGGTCGATCCCACAGGGAATTAAAACAATGCAACTTACAGATTGAAAACAATCAAATAAACAAATTAAAGTTCTAGAAACAAGAACCAAAAATTAAGACTAGCTTAAATTAAGTAAACGAATAAATTACCAAAAAAAAAAACAGATTATCAACTTAAACTTCAGATTAGAAAAAAAAAAAAAAAAAACCTGGGAACATGAATCAATTACTATTACTAATTCTGCATTTTAAGTCTAATGTTGCCAACCAATTACGAGTTCGTTCTTTTCTAAAATATGATAACTTCGTATGACGTCCAAAGTAATCATGTGTTTTAACCATTCATGTACTTAAGACACTTATTCAAACAGTTAAAACCCATTAAGTCCTAAAAGAACTACGGAATACCCGGGTTATGAACCAAATAAATAAGCCAACAAGACAGCCAAATTATTTATCCTTTTATCCTACAGAGCTTAGAATTAACAGGTATGGTATGTACTCAATTAATTCCATCAAACGACTAATTAACGTTAGAATTGGCCAGATTCAACACAATTAATCATCACATGAAAGCGTAAGATTAAACATAATTTAATTGAAAGCATTAAAACTCATATTAGTGCAGAATTTTCATAGTTATTGTATCATGATCCCAGATTAAAGAATTAGCCACTCAACATTTTGATTTTATAACTAATAAAAACCACTGCCAACATGCAATTAAATTCTAAAACCTGGAAAGTGCAAAGTGCCAAAACTAATTGTTGCTGCTGCCACCAAGAAAAGAATTTGTGCCAAAATGGAATTGCTCGCCAGTCAGACTTCGCACGCCGTCGATCTCTTCCGGAATTGGACCCAATCAGATTATTGTTCCAAGGAATTCTGCCGCTAACGCCGAACACCAAGAACGTCCACCGCCTCCGGAGTTAACTGATGATTTGCCTTCTCTGATTTTCCCGGCAAATACTTTGGGTATGAGAATTGAAGGCTGAATTTGTGAGATTGGTCATGAAAAAAATCGATGAACACTGGCCTCTTTTTATAGTGCTTAGTTCAACCGCTTCACTGAGATCCCGCTGATCAACCGGAGATTCTATAGCTCAACATCTCAATCGGATCTTCCAAAGGACTAGGCAGCGCTGGGAGAAAATCCTTTTGGATCGCGCTTGAATCGGCCAAACTGATGCGTCATATCCTTTTGTTTTGCTGCGTCAATTCTTTGCACAATGATAAAGGACTTTATCAAATGGACTACAAATATTGGGCTCAACTAAATAATCATACTAATTGGGTTTAGAAAAACATAATACTAAAAGTAATAATAAAACAACCTATTATTTAATTATTTTAAGAAAAACTAAAAAACATAATGAAATATAAAAATATGTATAATAACTAATTAAAAATTACTTACTAATTAGAAACAATAAACTAAATTAACACTAAAAATATTGTTCATCAGGTTCTAATGGTGGTCATTTTGGCCACTGGACTGAAGGTGTCTAGATAATCGATGCCAAGAGTCTAATTGTATCCCTTTGCAACAAGCCCTGCCTTGTACCTTTCTATGGTTCCATCAGCTTTGTGTTTGATTTTGAACACCCACTTATGGCGAATTGGCTTTTTAGAAGGTGGCAACTCTACCAATTCCCAGGTATTGTTCTTTTCCAAGGCATTGATTTCTTCTTGCATGGCTTTCCTCCAATTGTCATGCTGAACAGCTTCTTGGTAATTTCTTGGCTCAGAATGACAAATGATATTCATAGCAAAGGACTTAAAAGAGGGTGCAAGTTTGTTATAGCTCATGACTTTGCATAAGGCATGAGGAGATGTCTTCACAGCTGCATTTTGGCAAACATAGTCTTGTAAGTAATTTGGAAGGTGCTTCTGTCTATTTGACCTTCTGGTGACTTGGTTTTCTGGGGGCCTGTCCATTATGAGAATAAAAACCAGTTTGCTCATCATATCTGCTATCCTTGTTCTGGTTATTTGTTGTTGCTGGCTATGGAATTATATGCTATTGCTGGGGAATCTCACTTGTGGAATGAGAGCATGTATGTTCATAGCTATTGCTGTCTGGAATTTCCATGGGGACATTCTCCATTGTAGGAAGTATAATTTGTGGAGTTTTATCATTTGGACTATCAATTTTCTGGAATGGGAAGACATTCTCATGAAAAACCACATCTCTGGATATAAACAACTCTTTTGTCATGAGATCATATATTTTATAACCTTTTGTACCACTGGCTTAACCAAGGAAAATGGCCTTCTTTGCCCTTGCATCCATTTTGGATCTGTGTTCCACTGTAGTAGCATAAACCAGACAACCAAAAACCTTTAAGTTATCATATTGTGGTGTCCTTTTGATTAGAACTTGATATGGAATTTTGTTATCAATAGCAGCAAATGGTAGTCTATTGATAATGTAAGCAGCATGTGAAACGCAATCACCCCAGAAATATTCTGGTAAATTTGCGTGAAATATGAGAGCTCTAGCAGTTGACAATAGATGGCCATGTTTCCTCTCAACTCTACTGTTTTGTTGAGGTGTATAGGTGCATGATGTCTGATGAACAATCCCCTTCTGAACAAAGAAATCCACCATATTGAACTCCAATCCATTATCTGACCTTATACATTTGATACTGGTTCCAAACTAATTCTCAATTAAGGGTCCGTTTGGAAAGCAGGAAAATGACTTCTGGAAAATGTTTTCCGGAAAATGAGTCATTTTCCGGAAAACGTTTTCCTTTCTCGTGTTTGGCTGCACAATAGAAAACTGTCTTTGTCTGTTTGGCTCATTTTCTGGAAAATGATGTAAAATTGTATAATTAAACATTTTATATAATTAATTATTTTGTTTAAAATATATTAAATTTACAATAATATTATAAATAATAATAATAATAATAATAATATTAAATTTACAATAATAATAATAATAATATTAAATTTACAATAATAACAATAATGTTTACTAAAAAAATTTAAAAAAATAACCAAAAAAAAAAAAAACGAAAACCATAGAGTAAAACTCTCTGGTTTTCCGCCGTTCTCTCTGGTTTCGTCGGAAACCAGATACTTGCTCTCTGGTTTCCGGCGGAAACCAGAGAACAGTACTTGCTCTCTGGTTTCCGCCGGAAACCAGAGAGCAGTGAGCAAGTACTGCTCTCTGGTTTCCGGCGGAAACCAGAGAGCAAGTACTGTTCTCTGGTTTCCGCCGGAAACCAGAGAACTTTTCTCTGGTTTCCCGCGGAAACCAGAGAGGATTGCTCTCTGGTTTCCGGCGGAAACCAGAGAACAGTACTTGCTCTCTGGTTTCCGCCGGAAACCAGAGAGCAGTACTTGCTCACTGCTCTCTGGTTTCCGGCGGAAACCAGAGAACAGTATTTGGGGGGAATTCAGTGTTAGTTGTTGCTGTAGACAGAGATGACGGTGATTGTTGTTGTAGACAGACGAAGGTGGTTGTTGTTGTAGGCCAAAGAAGTCTTCCGGAAAATGACTTCCCCCAAAAAAAAGGGGAAGTCATTTTCCGGAAAATTGAGCTCATTTTCCGTTGACCATGTCTCATTTTCCTTTGACTTCTCATTTTCCAGCCTAGCCAAACACCAAAAACTCGGAAAATGATTTCCAGAAATCATTTTCCGGGTTTCCAAACACACCCTAAGTTGCAGAAATCTGCAAGTAGCTTCCTGGCTTCAGACTTCATTTTCATCAAGTATACGCAAATAGCTCTACTATGGTCATCCAATATGGTAAGGAATTAGTGGTGACATTGGTAGTAGCCACTTTGTAGGGTCCCCATATATCAACATGCACAAAATCAAAGCAATTAGCATATATAAAGGTACTGTGCTGAAAAGGAAATCTTCTCTGCTTAGCAAAGTGACAACTGTCACATATCAATTGTTTATTTATTTGAATTTTGGGTTCCAACCCTTTCAAGTATTGTATTTTTTACTGTGAGGCATGCCCTAACCTGGCATGCCTCAAAATACATTTGTTACTAGCTGAAATTGAATTGCATACAGAAACAGTATTAATAGGAAACACTAAATGGTACAAGCCATCTTGGAGTTTAGCCCTTCCAATCACCTTCCCAAGGACATCATCTTGTACAACACATTCATCAGAATACATTCTCATGACATAGTTGGAGTCCTTAACAAAAGCTCCTACTAAGATCAAGTTATAATGGAAACCAGGAACATATAGGACATTGTGCAAGGCAAATTCATCAGATAGGAAAACTGATCCAATGCAACCAATGTCAGTCTGCTGGCCATTAGGCAGGCTGACATGCAGATTGTGAGCATCCTTCTAATTGCTCAATAAATCTAACTCACAGGCTATGTGATGAGTGGCACTACTATCAACAATCCACTCACTTTTGCCAATTTCAACCGAATTGAGTGAAGGAATCATACCTTCATTATTAAAGTCAGTAGCTATGGTGTTGACCAAGGCTTGTGTATGACTTGTGGGCTGAATAACAGGTGAACTCATGCTCTCATTCGATGTCTTGTTGATTTGCATAAACTCTAGAAACCTTTTAAAATCATCTTGAGTAAAGGAAACCCCATTAGTACTAGGCTGCTGCACCACTAGTGGATCTTGTGCTTAATTTGCAAATCCTTGGTTTCT